CTATGGGTTCCAGTGAGTCACAGAGTAAACGATAATTTTGAGGCTGACAGTTTGAACTTAGAAGCAAATTTGTATTTGCTATTTCAATCGCTTTCATTACTTATATTCATATTGAATAGGCTTCGAACCGCCAGTATATCTTAAATGAGGGCCGGCTGAGGTTAAAAACCATTTATAAAAATCTTATAAAGTACCATATTACTGTCAAGTAGTATCTTGCACTTTGATATTATATATCTTTTACCAAGTTGTGGAGTATCCAAGTGAGGGCTGCAGCTAATTCCTTATCATCTTATGCGATCTAAGGCGAATACCACTCTTGTTCAAGATTTTCTGCTAGTGCGAAAATGTAGCAATTGTGAATTGTGCAAATTTTCCAACACCTTTTAACCTTCGGAGAGACTTTCATTTCGTTCGAAAGTGCATGAAAAATAGATTCATAGGTTGATCTCATAAGAAGACGACGGCCGATTCTCGTTGCACTGCAGCCATTTTGTAGTCTACGAGCCACCCTCCCTCACTTAATGCACTTTCATACGAAATTAAAGCTTTTCCAACAGTGTTATCCTAAGAGATTCGCCGAGGCCCAGTTACTTTTCGTATCTACAACTTTTAATTTATAGCCAAGGACAATTATTTATCACTTTTGTATTGTAATCATGTAATCATTTTTTAAATATATATTTTAGCGTATACATAATTATCAATTTATTATAAAAAATGAACATGACAACGATGAGTAAATTAGTGAAGTACTGAGTATATAAATGTTGTATACACTTTGCTAGTGAGAATTTATTGTCCTAACCTTTATGAATTATGAAAAGCTGGCACTTTGCTTAATATCAATTTGTAACCTATCATTTATTCCTTTTTGTATGTTATCAAAGCAGGTTGATCATAATAAGTAGAAGTCTGTTTCATTTAAGCTAACTAATTTTATAACTTTAAAATGTCTTTCTTTGTATTAGGTAATAATAAACACACAATCGTGTTTTCCATCAAATTCAGAACTAGTTCACGAATATGAACTTGCGTT